TGGGCTGAGAGGCGTGAGAACCCAGGAGTGTGCGAAAAAATGTTTTAAATCACAAATTCACCTTTGGGAGGACGAGGATGCGGTTGGTCTCTCTAGCGACCCGTGCCGCCTCAATGACATGGATCTTGGCGTTGGTGAGCTGCTCCTCCACCGCTGCAAACACCAGATACTTGCGATTGGCAAAGTCCTGCATCGAAACAACAACAATAAGGAGGAATTTGACAAACAATAACACACACGCATGCGCACGCACGCGCGCGCGCACACACGCGCGCACATACACACACACACACACACACACGAGGGACAAGAGAGGTGTACAATATTCCGATGTCCTAGAGTCCTTTTCACACAGCAATAATGTAACTGAAATTGGAATCAGTTGGAACAGCTAACACATGACCCGGAAATGTACCCAAGACCAGCAGGTGCAGCTCGTGTGCTTACCGTGAGTTTGGAGAACGGCATGCCAGGCACAGGCCAGCACGACTCAGGCCAGTGATTGCACGGACTGTCCTGATCACTTGGATTGCTGCCGCTGCTGCTGCTGTTGCTGCCGGTGGTGGTGTTGATACTACCCTCATCTCGTTCTGTGGAGTCCTGTAAGAGGTCTTTCGTATAGTTCCTCTCTATCTCTTGCACTTTCCCGCAAAGAGAATCGATTTGGGCAGAAACGTTCGACACCGATAACTTCTGGGCTTTAACGCCTCGCTTAAAGAAATGGTTTTCAGGGAAGCGACTCAGGAGATTGTGCTTCCACTCCTTGCTGCACACGATTCCTAGATACTCATTTTTAATGTTATCCACGTCAGCAGGAGTTACAAAACCGACATGGCTAACTGAAGCTGGAGAGAAACTTCGGTCTTGGTTCTGGATCTCTATAGCCGCTCGCTCTGAAGCTTGGATCGCAAGTTGCTGCATCGCCGAGCATAAACCGGCTTTGCACCTAGTTAAGCGCGACGGATTAAATTCAGTCCTCGTGGCACCAGGGAGGTTAGCGGCTGCTTGAAGAACATCCACGCAATTGATTGTGATGTTCAAGCGAACGCCTTTTAGGCTGTTGTCCTCAATCCGCGATACAGCGTCGATCTTCTCGGGTATAAGTCTCCATGTTCCATTGACGTCGCCTTTTAAATCCCGCGTTGCGAATGTGGCGCTCGTTGCATTCATAGCAGAAAAGCGTAGAACGCTGGATTGAAACGAGTAGCCCAGGAGTAAGGCAGTGAGAAGGCTCAGAAAGAGAAGCAGCTTGGAAATACGCGACGTGGCCAGTTTGCGGGGATTGGCCAGCCATGGTCGTCGCCTCACGGATTTGCTTGGGGTTTCAATGGTCGAATAACACTCGCTTCGGTCACCGCTACGCGAATCCTTGAAGCCGCTATCGTTTCCGCTGATTGTGTTAGTACTAGCGGAAGCTATGCGACCAAGTGACCCTGTCATATCTTAGCGGAGTGAATGGCGTAGCTGAGGAGGTTGTGAATCGTGATAAGAGGCTGGTGGTCGGTGATAAGCACGCACCAGGACGAGCATTCACAACCTATCCTCCATAAAAGGTGCTGGGAATGGATCTTCTAGCTTTGAGAATGTTTGTTCCAGCCATTCCGTATCTACATTTAATAAAGACTGCATACCAGCCTAATTTGTTCCAATTGTGATGGGGTAACAATCTTAGGCACATACATCAACAGATTAGCATGATTTTATCAATATTTCGTAATCATGCTGCTCGTCCTGCACATAGCAATATCACCAGGTAATCAGCAGCCATAAAATTATGCTGGGTGACGTATGCGAGTGAGAAAGGTTGGCAATGCTGTACCTTTGAAGGTGAATGATCTGCGGTTTGGAACCTGCAAAGAGGGGAGAAAGATGATGTATCAGTTGAATACATAAGACTGGGAGACCTGGAAAGCCAACGTTAGAAGTGCATCAGCAGCGAGGTGGTGCGATGAAGAACCACCACAAACAAAGCAGGGGCATGGTAGGACACAGGGTGTTCAAGGACTGCACAACATTCTACCAGTGGTCTAAATTCTATGAACAGAATCCTTGCAGTAGCCCCTTTGAAAGCAGCCTGATTTTGATGTTTCTCACCCTAGCTTCTCCATGTAGAATGCTCTGGCAGATGTATTTTCCTTCTGGACTGTAAGAAAGATGGCTTCGAGCTCACACTGATAAAACAAAATGGATACAAGACGGTGAAAAGAACACAGAAGGTGAGAGATGGAGAAGCTTAGAGAAGAACAAGACATATGATAAAATAACATTGAAACAGTTGTCAACACCACAACATTGATAGCTGAGAGCAGAAAAATGAAACCCGAAAGTCACATATCTGAAATTGGTTCAGCTGTCATACCTTCTCTGCCATGAGTTCAGCAATCCTCATTAGCTTGCTGCCAATTCCCATCCCTTGATATTCAGCCTCCACTTGTAACTCATACACGTACAGAGAGGCCATCTCATTCTCCTCAACAATGCGGAAGTGCATAAAGCCCACATGCTTGCATTCTGTGGTGCCATCTATTCCCGTGCATCCCCCATTCATCGCTTGATACGGGAAATTAGCATTCTGCCGTTGGCTCTTGACACTGCGTGCTGCTCTTGGGTTGAATGGTTTTTGGTGCTGAACCTGTTGTTGAAAACATCTATCCTCCTGCATCTGAAGTCTGGAAGACTGGCAATCTTGAAGCTGTGAAGGGTTAGCAGGAGTCATGCTCCCTGAAGCCTCTGTGCTTCTGGCCTCAACCATGCCTTGAACCATGCTCTCTGCAGTTACAATTTGCACACCTGTGGTTGCTTTGTTGGTCTTCGGCTGCTTGAGAAAGAGATAAACTGCGCCAGGCTCCATTGCTTCTGTCAGCTTGCCAGAAAGCACTTGGGGCCAAATGGATGGTGCAAAATGCTCCTCCATGTTTCTCTGCCACGTGTATTGGAGGAGCCAAAGATGTATAGCACATTCCGTAAAATTCTCCCTCGGCTTTGCAACTCTTTGCGCCTAAATGAGCAATCCACAGTAAGTCAAACAAGAACCGGGGAAGCTAGATGCGACGGTCGTACCTTGAGCAAATCTTTCACCCAAATTTCCTCATCATGAGTCAAAGCTCTGCTCTGCTTTTTCTCCAGCTGGAAAGCCATTCCTGCAGCGGAGAACGAGCAGCTGAAAACGTGCAGATGTCTCCTGACGATAGTGCGACTTATTATCTGTTGAGAGCTGATCTCCAGCGCATTTCCATTTTTCGTCAATCCGCACGCAGCTCACCGTTTCTGGTCATCATCTCTCGTGGTAGTTCCATAATTTCCACATTCTTGACAGCGCTTTTGATTCGTTGACGCAAGCTCTTGCGAGCCATGTAGGATGTCCTATAACTGCAGCGCAAAGGCCTTCACGTTAGGTGCAGAAGCTAGCCCAGACGTGTCTAGTAGGGGCAATACAACTTCAAAGGACCTACTGTCGTACGCTCTGATAACTCTGATCTGACCGTCAAAACCAATCTGGGGCAAACCTCTTCCGCGAAGAGTCGGAACTGAACCTTTTCCTGGCGTCACGAAAACGTCACGAAACCCGGAGGGATACCCCATGCATTCGCGAACTGAATTTCACGCCACCTGAACATTGGTTATTTTCCTGTCCGAATCTTCGCGAACTTGCTGCCGGGGCAGTGTTCGCCAATCCCAGGGGTTCCCTGCGGCGCGAAATCTGGGTCTTCCATATTCCAAGCGTCCCCTCACTGAAATCTAGGTTCCTGGAAATCTAGACTACAAAGCAGCCTAGACTTCATTTCGACCACGAAGTTGCTGAAATTTCTTCCTTCGACTTTCACTTTTACGAAGCAAATCCATCTGCTCTTATCCTTTCTTCCAGCCAACCGGACATTTCGTGCGTTTTATATATGGTCCTCGCAATGGCTGCAGAAGCACAAATCAAGAAAGCTGACATGTCTGAGGAGATGCAGAAAGACGCCATTGCAATAGCGTCTGAGGTTAGCCATGTCTGCAAATTAAGCTTCCGATCACCGCTCTGCACTATTGGCTAACATGCTGTGCATCATGTCCAGGCAATGGAATCAAAAACATCTCAACAAGACATTGCTCTCCACATAAAGACGGCGTTCGATGAGAAGCACACGGCCGTCTGGCACTGCATCGTTGGGAAGAACTTCGGTGAGGAATTATGAGAGTCTCTCGGATGTATCTTCGGACTGCGGATGTGGAACACGGCCATAAGAACTCCATTGTTGTCACTGCAGGGTCGTACGTGACGCATGAGGAAAAGCATTTCATTTACTTCTTTCTCAAGGGCCATGCGATCCTGCTCTTCAAGGCTGGTTTCGCCAACACATAACTTCGCTGAAACCAATTTGGCGAGTCATGTCAAGGTGGCAAGAGATGCTATCTCTTTGGCAAAGGCTGTGCCATTTCAGACAGAGTCTGCAAGAAATGTTCAAACTATTGCTTAGCACTCCTGTGTACATTATGAATCACTTTGTAACATGCAGAGGGTTAGAGAACAAGACGCGAAACCATCCATACCGCCTTCAGGAGTGACACAGGCCCTTGAGATGAACCTGAGACCCAATTGGCTGACAGAAGAGGGCAGTGTCACACTATGCCATGCTACCATAGTGGCCTACGGAATCATTAACAATTTATAGACCTTAACCAGAGTGTTTTGGCACCGAGACTTTTGTCATGAACCTTCAGAGACTAACTAGCTCGTCAGTTAGATTCAGGGACCTTCATGCCGCCACCCCGCTTCCTTGTTTCCAGCCTGCGACACATAACATGGCGCCAAAAAGACATACATTACACAAGTTTTGATGGCTCTTATCCATCACACACTCTATCTTGTGACACACCCATTCAGCACCTTTTCCACCCACTGCCCCTTTTCCACCCCACATGCTCCTGGAAAGCCCCCACTCTCTCTCCCATCTCTACCTAAGATTCTACAACCACCCATATGTAAATCAAGGAAAAACAAACACACAAAAAGGTACTCACGAGGGTGCGAGCTTCCCCAGGCTGAGGAGGTAGTCACCCGTCTCCTCATCATACACGCTCCCATTGATCTCCACTCGGTACGACATGTTGGGCTTCGATGGTAGCCCTCTCTTCATGAGCCGATCCAGGTCCTTCTTGTGCAGCTCCCTCCCGTTCACATACACCCGCGTCGCGCCTCCCGCACAGTCCACCGGGATCGGCGTCCCAAACTCAATACCCGGCTGCTCAAATAGAACGCACACAGGCAGTGGAGGGAAGGGAATAAACAGAAGTGGAATGAGGAGAGAAATGGAATTCGAGGGCTTCCAGTTGCCTCGTTATGAGCCCATGTCCCAAACATAATCCCTCAGGAAAGGCAAGGTGGAAGGTTCCAGGAAGATGGGGTTGTAGGAGGTCAAGGAGATGGTTCAACAAGAAAGGGGGCAGACAAGAAAGTGGATCAAGGAAGCTCCGTGGAAAAAGGCGTGGGGAATTGGCAGGACATGGAAATGCATAGGTGGGTGAGACTTGGGAGGAAGACGCAAGAAGGAACGGCTCGAACATTTTTCTGGAGAGATGGGAGGTCCATGGGGCGTGCATGGGTAGCATACGTGGGTTATGCATGGGTAGCATGCAGCGGGGGTTTTATATGTAGCATGCGTGGTGCACGCATGGGGTATGCATGGGGAGAACACATGGGTTATGTATGGGGAGGATGCATGGCGTGTGCATGGGGTATGCATGGGGGTATGCGTGGGGGTATGCGTGGGAAGCATGCATGATGTATGCATGGGGAGCAGCATGCATAGGGTATGCATGAGCAGCACTCCTCGCACTCACTGGGATGATGCCGAGGCATGGGCCGCCCATCTCGACCCAGAACCCAGACTCAGTACACCATCAGCATGCAAGTTCTCAAAGCATGCATGGGGGCAGCATGCATCAAGCACAGCTCTCCTGGCACTCACTGGGATGATGCCGAGGCATGGGCCGCCCATCTCGCCCCAGAACCCTGCGACCTGGTCGTACCTGCAGCAGCATCATTCCCACACCCAGGAGAATTAGAAATCAAAGCAGACTTATGTCACTTTCCTTGGAAGATGTAAAGCAAAACGGCAGGAAGGCGTAACACAGACATGCAGAGGCAAGCAATTGGGAAAACAGATGCTTCATAATACGTTAAAGTGGAGAGCGAAAAAAAGGAGAGGAAAGGGGGGGAAGAGGAGTGGGGGGAGGGGGAATGGGAGGGGGGGGGAGGGGGAGGGGAGAAAAGGCAAGATTTAAAAGCATGCAAGAAACTAATTGATTTTCTGAATTCCTGCACTCACCAGTAATTGCCCGGGTGAATGTTCCCTGCTCGTTGCTCCACCACAGAAACATAGTCATCCCGAATTGGCTCCCCATTCACAATCACTCTCCGCGCGTACGTCGCTCGCTCCTCCCCCCCACTCCCCCCTCCCCCCCCCATGCCACCCCCCTCCCTCGGCCCTCGGGGGGAAGGACTCGGCATGCCTCCACTGGAAGACATGTCTCCAGATTCAAAGCTGCTCTGTCGCTGATAGATCATCCTTCTTGACCCGCTCACCCCTCCCCCTCTCCCTCCGCCTCCCCCTCTTCCGCCTCCCCTTCCGCCCCCATACCCCTCTGCTCCGCTCACAGGGGAGCTAAGATCCGATTCTGATTCTGGCCGCATGTGGTGGTAGAAACTGCCGGCCGCGTGCCGCCCGGCCGACTCCTGGCGAATCACAACAGTGCTCTCCGAATCCGCGTTGGACGGCGTGCGCCCGTGCTGACCTGGATTGTGCATCTGCTGACCGCCAAACCCCCCACCGGGACGCTGCATGCGAGGAGAAAGCGGGGGCGCTCCCCCTCCGCCTCCCCCTCCCCCCATCCCTCCCCCCATGCCTCTCCCAAACCCTCCCCCGCTAGGCAACCCTTGCAGCAGCCTAGGAGACCTGGGAGGCTGCTGCTGCTGCTGCTGCTGCTGCTGCATATAATCATTCTGCTGATACTCACTCCCGCTATCCGCCACGTCAGGGTTATCTGAAAACCCCTCCCCGCCGCTAACCCCGCCGGCAGCAGCAGCAGCGGCAGCAGTGCGTGGGTCTGCTGGGTTGACTCGGAAGCGTGAGACGCGCATGCACTTGCCGCAGCGAAGCTTCTGAATGCCCTTCTTGGCCGGGGGGAGTGCTGCTGGGACTTCTAGAAGCTGGGAGCAGCGCTGACACTGGTGGGGGTGAGGTGAAGGGGCGAACAGGGGAGGATGGGAGAGAGGGGAGAGGAGAAGGGAAAAAGAGGGATGGAGAGGGGAGAGGAGAGGGAGGGGTTGGGAGAGAGGGAGGAGAGAGGGAGTGAGACGCGCATGCACTTGCTGCAGCGCAGCTTCTGAATGCCCTTCTTGGCCGGCGGGAACGCTGCTGGGAATTCCAATGGCTGAGAGCAACGCTGACACTGGTGGGGGGGAGGTGAAGGGGCGAAGACGGGAGGAGAGGAGAGAAGGGAGAGGAGGACGGGAGAACAGGAGAAGCGAAGGAGAGAGGTGGAGGGGAAAGGGGGAGGAGGGGTGGGGATTGGGGAGGGAAAGAGGGATTGGGGGAAAGGGAGTGAGACGCTCTGAATGCCCTGCTAGGACCAAAGAAGTGAGACGGAAAGAGGGATTGTGAGGGGCTTTTAGAACCTAAGAGCAGAGTGGGCGCTGGTGGCTGGGTGGGTGTGGCTGGGAGGGGGGAGAGGGATGGGCTGAATTGGCAGGTTCGGCATTTGTATGAGCAACTCGCGGCGCAAGGGCGAGCAAGAAACCAATTGTTCGTTCTGGAGTCTTAACGAAAGCGACGCGAAACGTTGCGTGCCTGTAACCAATGAGGCCGTGACTGTAACCAATGAGGCCGCGACTGTAACCAATGAGGCCGTGACTGATGAGGTTGCGCGAAGTGGAAAGACCCAACCTCGCGAAACTCGCAAAGGTCTGCAACCAACTAGGGTTCTTTCCGTCTGAGAATCTTTAGCTTGCTTCGGAAAGCAGCTTTGTTCGCAACTGAGTTCGTTGTGGCATCCCGCGAGTATTTGTTTCGCAACTACTTTTTTGCCGCATAGAACTTTGTTTGTTCTAACAGGCTTTTCTTAATTTCGCAACAGACTGCCCGCTAACTTTTTTCTTCGTCGTTCGTGCGAAAGCACTCTCTTGCCACGTTTTGGGCTCCGAACTAACCAGGGATATCAAACTTGCAGAAAAAAAACAGAAAAAAAAGAAAAAAAAAAACTCAATATCCGTTTCCCAACTAGTATAGTCAAATCGAGATAGAAGATCGTCAAGCGTGGTTTGTGCGAGTGCGCGAGTGCGCGAGGGGGAAAGAGAAAGAACGAGAAGCAGGCGATCAGAAAGATAACTATAAAAAAGCGGAAAGAAGACAGGCAGGGGAATAGGAGGCAACAGTAGAAATGACTATAGAGAGGAAATGAGAGGATATGAGAGGGTAAAAGCAAGAGCTCGTACCTGGACAACTTGCGGGTGAGGGTTGCCCGGAGGAAAGAGACGAGGGAGAGAAGATTTTATATGCAGTGACAAGGGAAGAGTAAGTGCGCGAGAGCTCTTGCCTGCACAACTTGCGGGCTGCCCGGAGGGGGAAGCATGGGGAGTTCCGACGGGTCCACCTCCGCCTTCCCCGCCTTCCCCTGCGGCGCCATCCCCCCCGCGTCCCCCGCGCCCTCTAAGCGCGGATTAACCGACCGGCTGCGCGGATACGCTCCCCCGCCGACCCCCCCTTCCGACGCGTCCGACGTATAGTAGTGCTCTTCCCCCATACTCACGCGCCCTCCTCCCATTCCCCTTCCGCCAGGCGCATGCGGGGGCATTCCGCCGCCCATTCCCCCCATGGCCATTCCCCCGCCCGCCATGCGCCCGCCTGCGCCCATCATCCCCATGCCGGTGGATCGCGACCGTTGCATGTTCTGGTGGTAACCGTCTTCGCCGTACATCCCGTCGCTTTCGTCGGTGTACTCTCCGCCGCCCTCCATGTACCCGCCTTGCGAAAACCCGCTCCCCGCGCGTTGGCGGTACGGACTGCCCGGACCCGCCCCCATTCCCCCCATTCCGCCCATTCCGCCGCGCCCTCCGCCCGCCACCATCTGCTGCGCCTGGGTCCTCCGCGGGGTGATCATCCCCCCAACGCCCATTCCCCCCGTCGCGTGCGGGTTCTGTCTTAACGGCGACCGGTGCCGGCCGTCAGTGGCAGTCAACGACCGTCCGATCTCCGGCTCTCCGCCGCCAAACTGCCCGCCTCCGCCAGCGCCTCTCCCCGCACCAGGTCCGCGCGGAGTGGGCGCTTTATTTCCGACCGTCATGCTCCGCCCGAATTGATCCGCCAAGGGGTCTTCCACCCCCGCGCCCACCCCCCTGCGCATTCCGCCGTCCGGTCCGCCGACGGAAGACGAGTGGGGAAGCTTCCCCCGCCCGCCCCTCCCCGCGCCCATGCCTGGCCCTCCTGCATGCGCCCCCCCCGCGCCTGCTGCTCTAACTCCGCGCGGAGGGGTTTTGTTGTTCGGCGCGGGGGCGACCATAGACATAGTGCGCTTATAACGGGGCTCTGCCGGTTGTTCTTCTTGCTGTGGAGACGGCTGGTAGATCATCGAGTTAATCCGCGTGAATTGCGCCTGAGGCGCGCCGCCGCCGCCGCCAGCTACGCGGCGTCCGCGGCCAGGGTTGCGCGCGGGGGGACCGTCCCCCCCTCCTCCCCCTCCGCCGGGGGCCATTCGGCGGGGCTGCGCGTAGGGGGACATGGGCCCGCCTTGCTCCTCTCCGCCCGACAGTGGTTGAACGTAACCACGTTGCCGACTGGTGGCCATCTGGTTACCACAACCCAACAAATATCTGTTCTTTTTAACAGAACGTTGAATAAATTGAGTGTATTTTTCAGGCAGAGCGTTGATACTGTCGTTAGTGGGAAGCTGCCTCTTGAAATAATTATCGGAACGGATACTAGACGGTGGGAAAGAGAGGACGTAAGCTACTGGAATGACTCAAGACACTTGCCAACCCGTGGCTGACTAGAGTGAGACGACTCAAAACGGTCCTGCTAGGAGCCGTAACTGTGAGAACTAGGAAAGCTTAGGAGGGCCGAAAGCGCCATTGCGCGGTACGCTTCTATTGTAATGAAAGAGGGAACAGAAATGGAAGGCCGATCGTAAAGCGGGCAATAAGTGACCCCGCTAACAGTTCTGCAACGAAGCACGACAAGATCGTCAAGTGCTTGACAGCTAGTTGTTCGATATTCTTAGGGACCGGTTTGGAGTGAAGCGTTTGCGGATTGACTGCTATCAGCCAGTTTTAGACGCACGTGAACTGTAAGTGTAGCTTCATAAATACAGCTCGACAAGATCGTCAGGCGACGCGACTCCAGCTAGTCTCTTATGTACTGGCACAGCAAATTAGGTCTACGGTTTCGCGAGAAAGTTAGCAAATTGCTCACTGTCTACGCACAGGCGAACACTAAGGAGGAGCCAAGGAAGGAAACTACAGCGGAGAGTGACCTAACAAATGTGCTGAAATCGCATTGGTTTAGTAACCTAGTTGTTAGGTTAGGAGACTCCGTCCCGTTTTTAATGAACTGAACTCCAGTCCAGTGGCACAACGCCTCGAGTTGCCGCAACTATTGGCGTGGCATCCAGCTCATACCCTGCTGGCTTCCGCAACGAGACAACACTCTCCACCTACTTTCACTGGACCTGCCCAAAGGAGCAGAACCTATCAGCCTGCCAGTGATTGGGTCCGTGCGTGTATGCGTGCTGCTCGAACTCCTCTCTGCTCTCCTCCTCTTCTAATTTTCTCATTTTGTGGAATGACAGTGGTTGTTTGTGATGTGGTGGAGAAAACAGAGGCAGGAGGGGGTGCTTTCAAGGCAAGGTGAGAGAGAGAGAGAGAGTGTGCAGAAAGAGAGGTTTTCCAGGTAAGATGCTTACATTTGTCGGTTCTGTGCCCGTCATTCTCCTCGGCGTGTTATGGCGGCTTCCGTTCCGTACCACCCACCATCCCACTGGTGGTGATGCTTAGTTTTCCCACCCGAATGTTTTCTTTTGGTTCTCTCGTCCATTTTCCGTAAATCGGAAAGTTCAAAGTGTACAGACTCCATATTTCACATACGGCAGGGAGGGGTTCCCAATATCTAAAATGTGTTCCTAGGAATTGAAAACAGTACTTTCGAGAATGTTCAATTTGGAACCCTCCATCCTCGTCAACCATAATTGTCGTCTCCCGTTCCTCCATCCTCCCACACTTTGGCCACACTGATCTGCACCAACCATCAGCTTCGCTTCGCATTCCCCTCAATTCCCCCAAACCGCGCTGGTTGAGGGGCCAAACCTCTCTCGGGAAAAGATCATGCAGGGGCCGAACAGTGCCAGAGGGGTGATCGATCAAGGGCCAAGAGGCCCGAAAACTACCAAACCGCTGCACAAAAAGATATTAACAAAGAGGTCTCGTTTGTTGCACGTAATTCTGCTACTAGTGGCATGCACTGGCTAGCGTTTTCGCTCGCGTGTCGTTTAGCGAGCCGACTCTGCTGGGAACTCTTAGGGCAGCAAAAAAACTAAAACCCACAGGGAATCTGGATACATTTTCGGGATGGATCAACCCTAAAAAAGGGGACCTTCCTGGTATTTAGGGTTGATGCCTCCCGAGGCGCATCCGTTTCCGAATGGGTAATTTTTTTTACTGTGCGTTTTCGATCGCGTTGGTGATATGCATCACCCATAATAAAATATGTTGTTACGTACTCACGATTTGACACGCCGAATTTTAATTCCAGAACAAGGCGACGCGCGCGCTGTAGTTGACGGCGGTCAAACCCCTTATTGAAGAAGTTGTACACGCAATTCGGTTTCCTCAGCAATTCTCTTTAACTCACGGCTCGGCTTGTTCGCCCAGCCGTGCGGGCAGCTCCGGGTCGAAATCCTACGGTCGAGATTTTTCGGCCCTACTTCGATCACCTCTCTGGCACTGCTCGGCCCTAATATGATCATTTCCCACCTCTCTCTTTGGTACCGACCGACGTGGAGAACCTCGACGCGCGCGCGTTGCAATGTATGCGCTGCGCGCATCATTCCGCTCCAGCGCCTGCTAGCTTGACATCCACGACGTGCGCGGAATGGGTTCACAGCGCGGGGGAGTAGCCAACCACTGCTGCTGCTCTCAGAGAAAGGACAGCCACAATTGGTTCTGACAAGTGATGTTTCGGGAAAGCACTATGCTCCTTTCACAGGGCGCCACGTCGTACTGAGATCAGGAGCAGGACGGTTGAGGCTGCATCACGTATCTCGTTATGGGGTCAAGTTTGTGCTAATGTGGGTTCACATATTTTATTCTATGGGTGAACTGTCAACTACATTCGTCAACTAGACATATTTATAGATATATCACGGATCAATGTCTTCCATATTTGTTACAAAACGCAGCCTAGTGAAATATTTAGCAAAATATGCCAACCTACACCAATTCTACAAAACTGATGCTGAGAGTGATCCATCCATGCGAGAGTGATACCAGCCGTAAGGGTTGCTTCCTTCCAACTCATCACCAAGTCTCCCCCTCCAGCACGAAGTGTGCTTGGTTCCCTGATACCGTATACAAGAGCCCTTCCAAGCAACCTGCTGACAAGTTTGCATCCCTGCATCACTGCACTCCTGCCATCCGCGCCCAATCCACAAACTGACTGCTGCCATAGATGTTATTAGCAAACCTCACAGCCACTGTAAACGAGCCTGATAGCCATGGCAGGCTCCGAGCCACCGTCGAGCCATCAACCAGCCTCTCCAAACCTGTGACGACCTGGTACCTGGGGTTGGAGGAAACTGCCATGAAGGCTCCCCAGAGGAGGGCTGTTTTGAAGAGCGGTGGTGGTTTGACGTGGCTGTCCTTTGTATGAGCAGCCTCATCGCCCTTCTGACGCACACTTCTGAATCAAGGGGAGGAAAGAAGGGAAATACTGGCAAAATTATGCTGGAGGTTGAATAGAGTATGCAAGTTTACATTGAATGTTCAAGTAGGATGCATGGGATAAACTTTGGAGCAATGGAGGATCATTCTTTTAACACGAGCATATGAGGAGCTTCTAACACGAGCATTGTCAACACCTCCGAGTGAACAGTGCCTCGTGTGGTTGTAACAGGCATTTGCTACCTCTTAAAAACGGAACCACAGCGTACCTCTTCAGGGTCATCACGCCGTTAGCGATCCCCTGACCCAGAAGGCCCGATGCGAAGCCAAACCCTCCATACTCAACGCCCTGCCATTGTGAACAGAGGGAGGAAGCAGGGAAAGGAGGGAGAGGAGGGGACGGAGGTGGATGAGGAGAGGACAATTTTTGGAAGGCAAGCTGAGGACGATTGGAGGTGTTGGGGGAAGAAGAAACTACGGCTGTAAGTTTGATGGCCATGTAGCAAAGTTTAGACCTTTTAAGTTACCAAACGTGTCCCTGGCAGGGCAGCGAGGGAATTGATGGACGAGGGAGAGAATGAAGGGCTTTGGGAGAGAAAGTTTTGGGTTGGGATACGCGGGCAGGTTTATCACCTTGACGAAGAGGGTGACAGTTCGTTGGGCAGCCGAGAACTTTTGACCCGGAAGGGATGCCTCAAACACACTGTTATTGAGAAGAGGGAGGGGAGGGCAACAACGGGACATAAGAAGGGAAGGAAAGTAAGAATCAGCCATACATGACAAAATGTACACAGTGGATCAAAGCTGTAATGGAATAGGGTTTCATTAACCTTAACGGTTCACTGTTCTGACCTGCTAGGGAGCGCCGAGAGCGCAGCAGAAACCCCACGTGGCAAGATGCGTGGCAACCGTCCACCGGCTGCTGACGTGGCGAATCTCGCGGCTGGCGCGAGCGAGCCCACGACGGCGCCGCCCATAATGATTCCGACGAGCATATCCGAGAGGTAGAGGTCGAACTCCTTCCAGAAATCGTCGCCTCGCTTCTGCACCTCCGCGAACGTCGCGCACGGCGCAGTCGATGGCGATCTGACAAAAACAAAACATTCGTGAAAATGTCAGTAGGATGTGGTAAGTCGAGTGAAACAGCGAAGGACGAACGCGAGTTCGCAATTGACCTCCAACAGGCACCTCCGTTAACCATGCAACTTGCGTACCCGACTCGATCGAGTTACTCACCTCCGTAAAAACTTTGAACAGGAACGAAGGGTCCATCAAGAGCCGGTTACGAAGTGCCGCGCAGTTGCTTATAGCGGGGCCCAGAGACGAGTTCTGCAGGTCCATGAACCTCTGTAGAATCACTTCCGATATACCGTGCTCCCGTGCGTGTAGCAGCATATCTTCTGGAAGCGTTAAGCCCTTCCGCAGCAGAACCGCCTCGACGCGCGGCCATCCCAATAGCGCGTCGAAATCTCCGCCCCTTCCGCTCTCATCTCCGCCAGCGTCTCCCCCGCCTCCTCCGCCCCCTCCGCTTCCGCCCGACCGCCCGTCCCCGTTGTTTCCGCCGTCTTCGCCGTCTCCGCCCCTGAACGATCCGCCGTCTCCCCCTCCTCGGCCCGTGTCCGTCATCGCTTCTGGCTCTTCCGCGACGGGCGGCGGCGGCGCAAGGATGGCGGCTTGCGCGCGGAGAGTGGTTCCGCGGTGGCCCCCGTCCTTCCGCCAGCTTTTGCCGGAGTTACCGGCGGGATTCGCGCCGGAACTGACGGCGATGTCGCGATCCAGATTTGAGAAGACGACGAAGTTGACGGCGGCCGGTGAGGCTGTGACGGTTAGCCGACTGGAGAAGCTAGCGGAGAACGAGCAAACGTCAACTCCGGGCATCCGGGGGGTGCTACCGAGCGCGGAAACACATACGGAACCTTGAGCCGCTGGAGGCGCGGAACGACAGGCGACGAAGGGCGCGGGGAGTGCTGCGGAGTGTGTTCCGCGCATGTACGCGACCGAGGAAACGTTGACCCGGACAGCCATGGCTATAACGGGGATAATTTCGATGAACGGGTGTCGTAAGAAAACTAAATTTCTCACAAGTGGTTAGAGATAATATACGTTGCTGCCCTTCTTGACTGATGCCTCAACGCTTCGGCTTAGGCAGAATGCGAGCTTACGAGGAATTAAATATGGCCACGAGGTGAAGTACGGAGGCAGTTATCTAAGGTGTTTCACTCTGGTGCTCCAAGCGCTGCGACGTTCAGTGCAGTCGCAGCGAACGTGGATTCACTGCCGGATCGACGTGTGACGTGTAACTTGCAACCCCTTCCGCGATTCGCTTCCGGAATCCTGGGAAGATTCGATCCACGTTTTGACTACGTCCCGTTTCCGTTTCGCAAGGCCGTCCGCTCCGTTTCTGTCGAGGTAAGACCTCCGCGGTACGCGACGCAAGCTCCTTCCAGCTACAAATGTTCACACTTCACGTCGGGTACGTTCGTCGACAGCTGTAGCAAAGGAGGAGTAACTTAAATTAGATTGGTCGAAGGCTACCAAACGACGCGAAAGCAGCTCGATTGAAGCGACGAAGAGAGCCTTGCGGAACGTGCGTGCACTATCTAGGTTGAGAGTTTGAAAAAGGACAGGATGGTCTGGCCTTATGAAATCGTGGGAGCAATTTTGCGTTGTGATCAGGTGAAGCCGAAGCATTTACCATCAACACGACATGTGATCAGAAACGGACCAGGAGCGGAAAGAGCAAATGAAAGACGAGCAGCGATGAACGAGAGGGACGAGGATGACCGACTGACCAGCCATCGGCTGACATGCCGTTTCTTGTGGCGGTGGCTGGTGCTGCTGCCATGTGGGAATTTGCGAACAAATCTGAACCGGTAGTGCGCCAGGCGCCGATAATTCGCCGACCTGAAGGGAACCAACCTGGGTTGCAGAACCACCAATCGCGTCGTAAGCGAAATGTTTTGGCGAATTAACGCCGCACGATGGCCAAGCGAAAGTGTCGATCTGGAAACTGGAGGCTGTGATACACAATTTCAGCGCGACGCGAATTGCGGCCCGATGGAGGGATGTGGTGTGATGGGGTAAGGTTATGCTGACTCATTTCGCCGCTGCGCGGCTGGAAACGGGGACCACGTGCAAGGTGATCAAGGGAGCAGTGAGCCCAGTTCCCAGCTTTGCTGGAGCTGGCTCGAGTGTTGACGTGGCATCGCGAGGTCGACTCGAAGACTTATGTGGATGACAATTCGATATAGGAATCGCGGTAAATATATTAGGTAGCACACCAGAATTTGAACACGACAGAAATGTTAAAACAGGTTTGCCGAGTTACCCACATCCACATCCAGAGTTTTACATATGATGCAGGATGTTCACCATGTCTTGCACAAATGGGCACATGGACGCTGTTGGGATGGAAAATCAGTCAGTACCTTTCTGCAACCATAAGTTGCTGATGTGCTGTCCATCTACCTTTGCAGAGACCCAATTCCATCCATGCCACTCATTGCTGTACTGATCATTAGCTACCAGCACAGTGACAAGTGGGTGAGCATACCCCACACAAGCCTCCCACGAACTAACTCATCGTGCAAACACTCAGGCACCTCAGAAACTACCACATTTAACCTATACCCAGAATTCTCACAGAAGCTTTTTACCACTCCTGCCAAGCACTTCAGCGTGTCTGTACTCTTGACCACAAGGCCTTTTGTTCCGTACCATGCCCTTAAGTGGACTCCTAGGCACGGTCTTGGCACGTCGTTGTCCCAGAGACCCGACTTTCGCCATCATGGTGTGCCATCTCATCTCCTCCACATCTCTCCCCACCCCACTCCCCCCCCCTTCCCCCCTTCTCAACCCTCTCCCACCACGCTTTCACTGATGCTCCATCATGCTTCCTTCCTACCATCTTAGCACCCCCCTCCCCTTGCGTCACTTGTGTTTCCCCACGGGACCGCTGCTGAGGGAGCCTGCCGAGCGTCTCCACCTCCTCACACGCCAGCACTGGTCTCCCTGACCCCCATCTCCTTCCCAGCTCGCCCCCCCTCTACAAACACACGCACCACCCTCACTTGTGTTTCCCCACAGGACCGCTGCTGAGGGAGCCTGCCAGCATCGTCTCCACCCCCTCACACACCAGCACTGACCCCTATCTCCTCTCCTCCCCACCATCCCCCCTCCCACCCCTTAGCACAAGCCTCTCCCTTGTGCTTCCACACGGGTCTGTGCTGAATGAATCTGCCAGCATCGTCTCCACCTCTTCACACGCCAGGACTGGTCACCCTGACCCCCATCTCCTTCCCAAAACACCATCCCACCGCTCCTGCTTTCCCCCTCAATACAGATCACCACCCTCACTTGTGCTTCCCCACGGGACCGCTGCTGAAGGAATCTGCAAGCATCGTCTCCACCTCTTCACACGCCAGCACCCGCACGTCCAGTGACCGCTGGTTGCGCAGAATGTTGCTGCAGAGGGAGGGAATGAGAAGGTGAAGGTAAGGAGTGAGTTGGAGAGGGAGAGGAAGAGCGTTGGGCGAGAGCGGAAGAAAGCAAAAGTTGGATGGAACCAACCCACTTCCTCACATGCCAGCACTTGTACGCCCAAGGGAAGGCGCAGCACAAGAGCAGAGAGCAGAGCAGAGAGCAGAGCAGAGCAGAGCAGAGCAGAGAGCAGAGCAGAGCAGAGAGCAGAGCAGAGCAGAGCAGAGAGCAGAGCAGAGCAGAGCAGAGCAGAGCAGAGAGCAGAGCAGAGAGCAGAGCAGAGCAGAGCAGAGCAGAGCAGGGCATAGCAAGAGCAATTGAGACAAGCCTCCCTCCCTCACCCATGTCAAACGATGAATTCGCGGTGTTTGTCGAGTGAGCCTGAGAGCGTCTTGGCCTACACGTGCCATTGCCTGGCACCAGGGACCCATATCAATGACCAGAAAGTGACAGCCCAGATTCTGACATGACAACCTACCCGTGTCGGATGATGAACTTGCCGTATTTGTCCAGCAGGCCTGAGAGGGTCTTGGCCTTGACATGCCATGCATGCCCCCCCCCCTCCCCCCTTTCCCCCATCACTCACCCGTGTCGGATGATGAACTCGCGGTATTTGTCCAGCAGGCCTTGAGGGTCTTGGCCTTGACGTGCCATGTGATGCCAGTTGCCAGAAGAGGATCAACCACTCACACACCACACCGCTACTGCTAGAGAGGAAACCCTGACCTGACCCTGACAACCCCTCCCTCACCCGTGTCGGATGATGAACTCGCGGTATTTGTCCAGCAGGCCCGAGAGGGTCTTGGCCTTGACGTGCGCGCGCAGCTCGCGATTGGTGATGGTCCATGCCATGTGGCGCTGCCTCATTTGCTCCAGGATGATGTTGAACGTCTTGAGACTGAAGGAGAGGGGGGGGTGGAGATGGGTGCAGAGGGATAAGGCAGGGCAAGGCATGGTTGGTGTTGGTCCATGCCATGTGGCGCTGCCTCATTTGCTCGAGAATGATGTTGAACGTCTTGAGGCTGGAAGGGAGGGAGAGAGCCGTGGAGATGGGAGGAAGGAACGGGGGTTGAGGGCATTGCAAGTCGTAATACCCCATATGCATGCCAAACGGAAGGTACAGTTGAGAAGTGCACTAGAACAGCATAGACAGACAAGGTCAAGAGAGCAAGTCTTGAACACGTCTAGGGCTGATGTGATCAGAACGACGTGACGCACGCAACTCTTGAACCAAGCACTCACCGCTTGACGAGGGAGGCGGAGTCGAGGCCGGTCATCCGAGGAGAACACCACGTCGAACTGTGATGCAGGAAGGGGGGGCGGGGAGGGGGAGGGGGAGGGGAGAGGGGAGGAAAAGCGGGAGAGGGTTGAGGGGGAAACAGGGAGCTGCGAAGGGCGGATAAGGAGGCGGAGTCGAGGCGGTCATCCGAGGAGAAGACCACGTCGAACTGCGATGCAGGGAGGGGGGCGGGGAGGCGAGGGGAGGCGAGGGGAGGCGAGGGGAGGGTAGGGGAGGGGAGGGGAGGGGAAGGGGGAGGGGGAGGGGGAGGGGGAGGGGAGAGGGGGAGGGGAGGGGAGGGGAGGGGAGGCGAGGGGAGGGGAGGGTAGCGGAGGCGAGGGGGGGGAGGGGAGGGGAAGGGGAGGGGAGGGGAGGGGAGGGGAGGGGAGGGGGGAGGGGGAGGGGAGGGGAGGGGAGGGGGAGGGAGAAAGGAGAAGGGAGGGGAGGGTAGCGGAGGCGAGGG